AAGAAGCTCGGTCCCAGGCCAGGTCCCAGCACAGCCCCGGGGCTATGGCTGCTTCTGGAGCTCTCCACCCACAGCCAGTGGGGGGATCAAGCAGCTGGTCAGAGGGGTATTGCAGAGATCTCTTTGCTGGTACTGAGGCAGTATTATCTTGCTTTGCCTGTGCTTGGATCTAGGTCGCAGTTCTGGGTGGTGGTCCTGGAGCAAGGAGGAGCATTGGCATGGTGGAGCTTATGGTGGTGGTGGAGAGGGAATCCTCCTCACGGTTCCAAGGCAGAAAAGAGTGTGTCACTCACAGACCAGAGTACAGACCAAGAAAGGAGTAAATACCTCACCCTTGATTTTATCACCTTGGAAGAACTGAAAATTTACAGGTCCCTAGAAGTATCTCTGAAAACAGCTGCACAAAACTCCCAAAGCTTGAGACAATATATTCTCCACATTGGAAGCAGACCTCTAGCTTAACAAATCATTTAAAACTCAAGTAATTGACTGGGAACATGAGAAACTGTGCAAAAAAAAGTCAGACCATAGAATCTTTCTTTGGTGACAAAGAAGATCAAAACATACAACCAGAAGAAGACAACAAAGTCAAAGCTCCTACATTGAAAGCCTCCAAGAAAAATATGAATTGATCCCAGGCCATGGAAGAGCTCAAAAAGGGTTTTGAGAAGCAAGTAAGAGAAGTAGAGGAAAAACTGGGAAGAGAAATGAGAGTGATGCAAGAAAATCATGAAAAAAAAGTCAACAGCTTGCTAAAGAAGACCGAAAAAAATACTAAAGAAAATAATACCTTAAAAAAATAGCCTAACCCAAATGGCAAAAGAGGTCCAAAAAGCCAACAAGGAGAAGAATGCCTTAATAAGCAGAATTGGCCAGATGGAAAAGGAAGTCCAAAAGTTCACTGAAGAAGATGCTTACTTAAAAATTAGAATGGAGCAAATGGAAGCTAGTGACTTTATGAGAAATAAAGACATTGTAAAACAAAACCAAAAGAATGAAAAAATAGAAGACAATGTAAAATTTATCATTGGAAAAACAATTGACCTGGAAAATAGATTCAGGAGAGAGAATTTAAAAATTATTGGACTATCTGAAAGCCATGATCAAAAAAAGAGCCTAGACATCATCTTTCAAGAAATTATCAAGGAAAACTGCCCTGATATTCTAGAAGCAGAGGGTAAAATAGAAATGGAAAGAATCCACTGATCACCTCCTGAAAGAGCTCCCCAAAGAAAAACTCCTAGGAATATTGTAACCAAATTGCAGAGTTCCCAGGTCAAGGAGAAAAAGTTGCAAGCAACCAGAAAGAAACAATTCAAATATTGTGGAAACACAATCAGGATAACGCAAGATTTAGCAGCTTCTACATTAAGGGACTGCAGGCCATGGAATATAATATTCTGGAGGTCTAAGGAGATAGGATTACAGCCAAGAATCACCCACCCAGCAAAACTGAGTATAATCCTTCAGGGGAAAGAATGGACATTCAGTGAAATAGAGGACTTTCAAGCATTCTTGATGAAAAGACCAGAGCTGAATAGAAAATTTGACTTTCAAATACAAGACTCAAGAGAAGCATTAAGAGGTAAACAGGAAAGAGAAATCATAAGGGACTTATTAAGATTGAACTGGTTACATTCCTGCATGGAAAGATGATATTGGGGGGCAGCTAGGTGGTGTAGTGGATAGAGGACCAGTCCTGGAGTCATGAGGACCTGAGTTCAAATCTGGCCTCAGACACATAACACTTACTAGCTGTGTGACCCTTGGGCAAGTCACTTAACCCCACTGCCTCGTCAAAAAAAAAATGATATTTGTAACTCATGAGACCTTTGTAAGTATTAGGGTAGTTGGAGGGGGAAAAATTTGTATGTGGCTAGATAGATAGATAGATAGATAGATAGATAGATATAGAGGGCACAGGATGAGTTGAAGATGAAGGGGTGATATCTAAAAAATAAAATTAAGGGGTGAGAGAGGATTATACTGGGAGAAGGAGAAAGGGAGTGGTAGAATGGGGTAAATTATCTCACATAAAACAGACAAGAAAAGGCTTTTACAATGGAGGGGAAGTGGAGGAAGGTGAGAGGGAATGAGTGAATCTTTTTCTCAAATTTGGCTTAAGGAGAGAATACCATACACACTCAATTGGGTATGGAAATCTATCTTACCCTACAGGAAAATAGGTGGGAAGGGGATAAGAGGGGGGGATGATAAAGGGGAGGGCAGTTGGGGGAGGGGGTAATCAAAATCAAATACTTCTGAGGAGGGACAGGGTCAAAAGAGAGAATAGAATAAATGGGGGGTGGGATATGATGAAGGGAAATACAGTTAGTTTTTTTTTTTTTACAACATGGCTATTATGGAAGTGTTTTGCATGATTACACATGTATAACCTATATTGAGTTGCTTGTCTTCTCAGTGAGGGTGAATGGGGAGGGAGGAAGGGAGAGAATTTGGAACCCAAAGTTTTAAAAACAAATGTTAAAAATTGTTTTCACATGCACCTGGGAAATAAGATATACAGTCAATGGAGTATAGAAATCTATCCTGCCCTACAGGGAAATAGGAGGAGAAGGGGATAAGAGAAGGGGTGGGGGAGATAGAAGGGAGGGCAGATTAGGGAAAGGGGTATTCAGAATGCATGCTGTCTCGGGGTGGGGTTGGGATGAGATGGGGAGAAAATTTGGAACTCAAAATCTTGTGGAAATGAATGTTAAAAGCTAAAAATAAATAAATAAAGTAAAAAAAATCTTTACTTGATCCTGCGAGCTACTCAAGCCATCATCCTATAATTTCCTCCTTTAATGGCTAAATTCAGAGAAAGCATTGTCTACAGCTGTCACGTCTATTTTCTTATCGCCTATGCACCTCCCATCCCCTCATAGTCTAGTTTGTAACCCCACCACAGAACTAAGACTGCTTACCCAATGTTACTAATAATCACTTAACTGTTAAAGCCAATGGATTTTTCTTAGTCATCTACTTGACTTCTCTGCAGTGTTTGAATTTGTGGACCCCACTGCCTGCTCTTCCTTATTCTTGGTTCCCTTGCCATTCTTGACCATCTCTTTTCAATTTCCTTTGCTGAATGTTCACTAAGTGTGGGTGCTCCCCAACACCTCTCTTAGCCTCTTGTCTCTCTACACTCTCTTTTACACTTGGAGACTTTTAATGGACATTTTCTATGTTGCCCAAATTCCAATCTAGGGATAAATAAGGCCAAAGTTACACAGAAGATGAGTAAGATTTATAGTAATAATCTCTGTGTAGCTGGGAATGAGAAGGAAGGTATGGTGCTGGGACTGGGAATCCACACTCATACTCAAATCATCTCATGCCCTCATTTCTACCATTGGAATACTGGGAGGGATGCTGTATTTGGGGCCAGAAGACTTCTATTTAAATCTTGGCTCTGCTACTCATTCCCCTGTGATCTAGGGGCAAGTCATCTAACACTTCAGCCCTCAGTTTATTCCTCTGTAAAATAAGGGTAGTTAGACAAGATGGTCTTCTAAAGTCCCTTTCAGTTCTCAATCACTTCTTTAACTGAAATCCTCCATAAACACAAACCATCTTGTTTTTTGATGTTATGAATGGAAACAAAGCACAGGCTATTTCAAGTCCCGATTTCTTCAAGAGAATCCAATGGACCATCCTACTCCTTTATTCATCCCATCATGACACTATACAAACTAATCTATTTCCTGGAATGTCTACTTAGGGCCCTCTCAAAGTATATAAACCACTATCTCGCACCACCTCCCATGTATTCTAATAGAAACTTATGTTAACATTGTGTTTTATGATTCTTCCATATACTTTTTTTTTTTTGGCACAGGATCTATTTCTTTGATGCAAGAAACTCCCTCTATCAATTCAGAACTGCAGATTATCATCTTAAGGCTTTTGCCTGAGGCACTGAGGCTTGTTAAATGACTTGCCTAGGGTTACACAGTTCTAGTTGTTTGTCCTTCATTTCCAGAGGACCAATGACATCATGAGATCAGGTCTTGACCCTGTGGTTAATTTAAATTGGATTTAAATGGGGCAGAGTTGCCCAAAGTTGTCAACTCACTCTTTCTTCCAGAGTCATCAAAATCCAATGGTAGGACAAAAGTCAAGATGACTGTCCATGGCCCGGGATGCAGTGGATGACCTCGGCACCTATGACGTTTGGCCATGCTCTAAGCGCTCCATAGCACCTGCTTCATCTGCCCATTCCACTGGGTGAAGTTTTCATGTGCTTGGGTATACATCCCCCTAATGCACCAACTGGTTTGAGACCTGTCAGTTACCCTCAACCTGATTTAGCCTGTATGCTGAGATGGTTTACTGGGGTGTGGCCATTGCACAGGTGAGAGTCAGGGACAGGTGGATGAGCAGCCCTGAAAAGGGCTAGTACCAGTCAAAGGCAAGATTTAAACTTAAGGCCTTTCTGACTCCCACACCAGCTTTTTACCCTCTTTCAAATACGTTTCATATACATTCTCCCCAGCCTCTCTTTCATGTATATTGCCTCATTTAATCCTCCTCACTACACCCTAGTGAGCCCAAGTATCAATATCCCCATTTGAAAGATAAGAACGCTGAGGTTCAAAGACTTGCTCAGATCACCCAAGTTCATGGCAGAGCTTGGATCTGAACCCAGATCTCCTACCTCCAAGTCCCATGCAGAACCTAGTGCACTAAACTGCCTATTAGTGAGATATGTTTCCTCTGGCCCTTCCTGGGGGATTTTTGGTGTTCTTCCTTCATTGTTGTTGTTTTTTTCCCCCTGCCTGGACCAGGCAGCTGATAACAGCTAGGTCCCCAGCCCTGCACACGCACATCCCTTATCGGCTGTCCCGTTCATCTCCCCAAGCTGGGCTCCCTCCTTCCTTCGGGTCTCCTCCTTCTCTCCTCCTCCTCTTCCTCCTCCTCCTCTTCCCCTGTGTCTTTCTGTCTGGGCAGTTTCTCAACCCCCCAGGCCAGCTCATCCCATGTGTTTCCTGATTTACCTAAATTTGAAGTTGTCAGGCAGGAAGTAACCCATCTTGCAATGTTGCCGGGCCCGGAAAATCTGTTTCAGTAGATTCTTCTTGCTACAGCATTCATATCCGTTGAAGATAAAGCCTCCAAAGAGTAGCTTACCCCCAGCAAACATCTGTTGGCAAACAAGGGGGAAAGAGAAAGGAGCAGGAGAGGCCTTCAGCATCCATACCAAATAATAATAATAATACTAAAGCCCAGCATAGACGGGGAGGCCCGAGCTGGCCCTCTTTCATTGCGGTATCAGACTACAGAAAGCACTGCTTGGGGGATGGGGATTTTTATTGCTCAGGGTCTCCCTCATCAAAAGAGACTGCAAGGGCCAAACTTGGTCATCAGAATATTTTAAGTGAGGGGCAGCTAGGTGGCGCAGTGGATAGAGCTCCGGCCTTGGAGTCAGGAGTTCAAATCTGGCCTCAGACACTTGACACTTACTAGCTGTGTGACCTTGGGCAAGTCACGTTTTAACCCCATTGCCTAGCCAAAACAAAACAAGAATATTTTAAGTGTCTTATGACACCATGGAGGAAGACCTGGGTTCGAGTGCTGGGTACATTACCTTGGGCAAATCACTTAACCTCTAAGCAACTCTCTGACTTACAATGCTTCAAGCATTGGTAGAGAAGTTTTCTCACCTTGGGAGTTCCCTATACCAACGAAATCCCAGGTCCAACCTCAAACCAAGAACTTTAGTAACCCCCCAAATCTAGAATCTCTTCATTTGGTTCTTTTTCTTTGGTATACTTTGCGGGTCAAACTTTTAGAAAGACTTAAGAACTCTGATCAATTAAATGAGCAACTATGATTTCAGAGAGATGATCCAGAAGGAACCATGGTCAGTGAGGGAATTTATTTTGCTAGACTATGCATACTTGTCAGAAGAGTTCCCTAATTTAGACAGGGGATGGAGTGGGAAGGGGAAATGGGGGGAGAGAAAATAAATGCTTGTTAATTGTAAAATAAATAAATAAATAAATGAGATTACACAAGTAAAAAACAAAAACAAGAGCAAAAACAATGAATGTTGTACCTCATTCATACCTGCCCATCAGAAAGGACATGGATGAGCAAATCTCTCACTAGGGAAGGCCCCAGATGTGGTTTCTCCCTTCGACAACCTCTCCCCAACTACATTTCAACATAATTCGTTACCTTTGTAATTCCAGTTATTTTACTTTAGACATTTAAAAATACTATTTTGGAAAGGGATACATAGATTTCACCAGACTGCCAAAATGGTTCATGACCAATAAAAGTTAAGAATTACTCTGGTGTAGTTCGACCTCCCCTCTCAATTTGTAGAAGGAAACTGAGCTCCAAATAAAGGAAGTGACTTGCTCAAGGTCACCTAAGTAGTAGGCATAGCCAGGATTTGAACCCAGGTCCTCTAACTCCAAATCCAGTGCTCTTTCCCCCAAATTAGTGGCTTTTCCTATCCTTAGGGCTTTACTCCTAGTTGGCTACCAGCTATTCTCCACTGAGGTAAGGAGAAGTTGCCAACAAGAGACCTAGACAATGTCACTGTTTTGCTCCTCGCAGCAACAGCAAACATGTAATGAGGCCTGCTGTGTATGGAAAACTGTGCCTTATGGAGCTGATGAAATGGAAAGGTCTAAGATATAACCACACAATCATAGGACCATCTAGTAGAAGGTAAGCTCCTTGAGGGCAGGGATTGTTTCATCTCTGTCTTCATATCTCCAGCACCTAATGAATTACCTAGAACCTAGTAGGAATTTAATAAATGTTTGATTTGAGCAGGATTTAGAGCTGGAAGGGACCTTAGGGGTCATCAAATCTAGCCAGAGCCATAACCAGTAGTTCTAGGTCCTGGATCAAAATTTGTTGAGCTGAGGTAGAGTCTGAAGGGAGTGGGGGGTGGCAGAGGATGGTACTAAGGCACATCCATTCCTACAGTTGAAGAAGACTGGAGATAGAGATCCTAGGAATTGGGGAGGGTGAAGAAATGGGAATCATGAAAGAATGAAACAGGATGGGGCTGGGAAACAGGGCTTAGAGGCACAGAAGACTATGAGACTGAATTAACTGGGGATGAGAGTGACCTGGATGTCCACAGATGACAGCCACAAGGCCTTGGACGGGACAGAGTAGGCTTTAACAACTGAGGAGAACAAGGAAGACTTCTTGTAGGAGGTGGCTTCTGAACCAGACCTTGAATTTGGCTGCAGGGAAGGGTTTGTGTTGGAGAATCAGTGGGGAAATCAGGCTGGAAAGGTAGGGTATGGATAGATTATAAAGGGCATTGAATGCCAGTCTTTGCTCTGCTTTTATGGGTGCCTGTGCTAGGGAGAATGAGGGAAAGAAAGGCAGGGCTGTAAAGGGAAAGAAGAATTTTCATTCATTAATGCACTTCAGGGAAAGAGAAATATCTCCTTTTCATCCCTACTCCTTTCCCTTGTCCAGATCAGGTCACTGGATCATGAGTTCATAGATTTAGACCGTGAGATCCTTGAAGACAGAGACTGGTTTTGCTTTTCTTTATAACTTCAGCACTTAGCACAGGGTCTGGCACATAGTAGGTGCTTTATAAATGCTGGTTGACTGGTTTGGTGGAAGACTGCTCAGAATAGGAGACAGAGAAAACAACAGAGGAAGGCTGAATGGGGGGGTGTGCACAAAGGCTGGGTGGAGAGAGAGGAAGTGGGGTGAATGCTTGGAGTGGAGAGAGCAGTGAGTGGGTGGGAGCAGGAAGGTCCAGTGGAGATTGGAGGCTGTCATTGGGTGGGGCTGGGGAAGTGCTGGGTGGGGATAGAGAGGGCAAGAAGCCCGAAAGGTAGGGTGGAGTCCAGGGTGAGCAGACATTGTGGGTGGTGTTGGAGGTGGAGGGAAGATAGGAAAGGCAGGGCTGAGATCCACAGAGCCAAGAGGAAAAGCAGGGTGGGGCCGGGAGAGGTAGTACCAAAGGAGTGGGAAGGAGGCAGAGCTGGGGTCAGCAAGAAAGAAGGGGGTACAGGTCTCAAAAGACATTCATTTGAGGAATGATGGAAACGACTCAGCCAAAGTGGGCCCCTTAAGCTTTGAGGGAAATGGGGAGCCCACTGCCTTAAGGAACATTTTGAATTCCTCTCCAGGGTAGGTGATACTGGGCTATGACATTCTCCTGGGGCCAGGAGAGCTAAGTCCAAAGCAGGGTAAAGGCTCCCTCTGGTGTCCCTGAGCTGGACCTTTCCTCTTCACAAGTCACTCTAGGGCACAGGAAAATCAGCCTTGTTCTGGGGACGATCTAAAAATTCAACTAAATAGTGGGGAAATAGTGGGGATGAGGGGTAAGGAGGGAGATCTCAGAGAGGCCAAGAGACCCATGAAATGTTGATGTCTATAAAGGGCATCAGGTCTTCTAGCTCTTAACAGATTACTTTTCAGTTCTCTTTGACTAATTTACCCTGCAAAAGCTGTTATGAGCATCTCATCCATCATTATGAAAGCAATAGTGGGGCTGAAGCCATCATTTCCCAGCCTGGCTTCACTAAGTGTCTGTCCAAATTTTTATCTTTTGTGCCTTAGAATTTTGAGAAGGGAGAGAGACCACTGGGACTTGGAGTAGTCGGGGGAGGCTTCCTGGAGAAGGTGTGACTTGGTGTGGACCTTGAAAAAAGATGCTGATTCCAGAAATGCTCTTAGTCCTCAGGTGATGCCCTTGAAGGGTGATTGGCAAGGCCAAAGTATAGAGAGAGAGAGAGAGAGAGAGAGAGAGAGAAAGGAAGGAAGGAAGGAAGGAAGGAAGGAAGAAAGAAAGAAAGAAAGAAAGAAAGAAAGAAAGAAAGAAAGAAAGAAAGAAAGAAAGAAAGAAAGAAAGAAAGAAAGAAAGAAAGAAAGAAAGAAAGAAAGGAAGGAAGGAAGGAAGGAAGAAAGAAGGAAGGAAGGAAGAAGGAAAGGAAGGAAGAAAGAAGGAAAAAGAAAGGAGTGGGAGGATAGAGGAGGAAGAGTGATAGAAGGTGTAGGGAGGGACAGAGGTTGTCTAAAAGAGAAACAATACATACGTGGTCAAAGAATACAAACAGTTCTCAGAAGAAGAAATGCAAACAAATCAACAACCAAATAGGAAGAAAAAAGTTAATAAGAGAAATGCAAATTAAAACAACCCTGAGTTTTCATATCTGATGCAGCAAATTGGCAAAGATTGCTAGAGATGGAAATCATAAATGTTGGAGGGGCTGTGGGAAGACAGGCACATAAATCTACTGCTGATGGAACTATAAATTTGTCTAACCATTCTAATTTGGAATCATAGAAGAGAAGTTAATAAACAGCTCAGCCTTTTGATTCCCCCCATGATCCTATTCTGAGAGTATGTTCCAAGAAGGTGAATGACAGAAAGACTCTCTATATAACCAAATATTAATAGCAGCACTCTTTGTGATAGCAAACCCCATCACTACCAACAATAAAACCCCTGAAAGTAAAATTGGTACCTATTGACTGGGGAATCGCAAAAGAAATTATGGTATGTGAACATAACAGAATATTATTGCACTAAGAGACAATGAATCTAAGGAATTCAGAGAAACACAGAAAGACTTATATGAACTGATGCAGAGAACAACATTCACAATGACTACAATAACATAGACGATGACAACACCAAAGAGAACGAAGACTGGTGAATTGGAATCAGCAGTCATGGTTCTGGAAAACTAATGAACAGTCTCAGGCAGAGACACGGAACAACAAATGCTCAGATGTGTGTGCCGTCAGAAATGGTCACTGTGTGATTGGTTTTGCTTAAATGGTTTTTTTCTGGAGTCAGTGGAGGTTCGTGGCTTAAGGGAGAAATGAATGGAGTGAAAATTAAAGGCAAGAATGAAACTTTAAAAAAAATAGCTAGGAGAGAAAGGAAAACAGATGCTCTGGATATCACTCAGAGACATGCTTAGCATTATTTACCAAGCCCTGATCTAGAGTAGTGGTTCTCAGCCTGTAGAGTGTGGCCCCCTGGGGGCCTGGAGAGTTACTGCAATGAGTTTGCAAATTGGTATACAAGAATCCTATTTTCCATAAACCAAATTGTGTCACACATGTGTCTTTTTAAATATTTAAGAACTTTAAATTTTAAACTATTTAAATATAATACACACATGTAGTGTGTAATTAAAA